TTGGAAAAGATATGTCCACCCTGTGTTCTTTGCAGTCCTATTTACAACCCCAAAGATCTGGAAACAATCCAAGAGTTCAATGACAGATAGTAGCTAACGAGATGCTATACACGCTCAATGGAACTCTACTCAGATACAAGCAATGAATGGGGCAGAGACACTTGCCTTGAATGTAGCTGAGCCCAGTTCAATTCCCAGCATTACATATACCAGCCTACCCTGAGAACTGTTAGAAATGACCCTTGAGCACAGAGCCAGGAGTAAGTCCTGAGCACTCAAGGACTCAAACAAAAAGAAAAACTTCAATCTTGCCATTTACAACAACATGGGTGGAATGGGAGGTTTATGATAAGTGCAATAAGTCATAAAGAAATAAAATAATGGATGATTTCCCTCATATGTGGAATATAAAGACTCCATGTAAGGGAACAGAAAAAGTTACAACAAAACAAACCTGAGGATTTTGAATACAGAACTGAGGTATAGGAGAGGCATTGGAGAAGGGATGAGAAGAGGAAGTGGGTCCAATGGGCCGTGATGGAGGGCTCTGTGTGGTGGGCATGATGGGTTAACACACATTTGAAGAAGTGTGAAACTACTAAGATACATCATGCCATAAGCAAGGTGAATTTCAAAAAACAAAATCAAAGGAGCAAAATAAACAAAAGAGGTTAGTTGTAGTTGACTAGAGAAAATGGAACAAAATATTCATCTGTCATAAGCAATCACAGTTTAGAATTACAGATCATAGCCAGCATATTTAAAGGAAGCTGCCTCAAGATGGAGAGGAAATTGGGCCAATTTCTTTCCTTTTTAAAATTTGGGTACCATCAGTTCAAGTACTGTGTAAGTTTCAAGAGAACAAACTCACTCACACTTTCATATATTCCACACTCACTACTGAAGGTCCAGTTACCACTCAGCACTACCTAACTGATCTCCATGCCTGGTCTCCCTTGCCCCTTACCCTGGCCCTCCCGTGACCAACTTTTTTTTTGTCAATATAAGGATCTGCTCTTGTTTTATTTGCTTGTTTTAAATAAAGATTTCAAAAAGAGGACACAGTATATTACACAATGGAACATTACTCAGCTCTGAGAAGATGCACGGTTGCCACTTGTGATAGCATGAAGGGACTGTGAGGTTATTATGTTATGTAAAATAATTCTGAAAGAGAAAGACAAGGAGAAAATGTTTTCATTTATATGAACACATGAAGGTACCGGCAGAGAAACAAAGGCATGTGGGTCCCAGGGCTGAGATCTCCAAGCCTACTAGGATCGGGGCTGAGCATCCTCCACCCAGATCCTCCATCTTCCAGTAGGCAGGGGTCACATCCACCAACTGGCCCCCTGGAGCCGTGTAATCCCATCAACGGCCAAGACTCAGAGACTATAAAACCCAGCTCCCGGAAGCGCGTGGCCGCATTCGCAGCCTCACGACATCTTATCATCTCATTCCTACTTTGGACACACTGGCAGGCTACCGAATGTAACCTGCCCACACGGCAAAGTCTGGCAAACTCCCCGTGGCGTACCCAATATGCCAAATACCAGTAACAATGATGGGTCTCATTCTCCTAAAGAGCCTTGAATATAGCACTTTCTTAAAAATCTCAAGGCTAGGATGAAGGAGATGTTACTGGGGCCTGCGCTCGAGGCAATCAACGAATAACAGGATGGTCGTGATTTGTCATGGACCAGTCTTTTCAAAGCCACAAATTACCAAGGATCACCCAAACAGCGGGGGAAAGCTAACCCTAAACAGTTCTGTATCATTCAAAGAAATTGAATAAGGCATTAAAAACCTTCCAGAAAAGAACTGACTCACATGGTTTTTAATCAAATATTCCAAAAGGAACTGATACTGATTTCAAAAAACAGCACATAAAGTAACATTTCACAATTTATTTATGAGGCCAGCATTAAGTTGGATAAAAAAATCAAACAAACAGGCAAAGGAGGTAGAAGAAAACTCTAATCCAAGGGTCAGAAAACTATAGAGAGGACGAGGAAGTAAAAAGGTTCATCTTTGCACCCCAAACAGTGTCAGTAGTGAAAATGCACTTCGAACAGACGTAATGAACCACTCAGTCTGCAACTACATGAGAGGAAAAAAATAGAAGGGGTAGATTTGATCAATCATATTTGACCAGATATAAATCAATGTGGTTGGGTTTGAATGTGGTTCATGGGCATAGTTTGCTGACCCCAGCTGTATATCTCTGTCTCTCATGAACATACATAAGAATTTTCACAAAAGACAAAAGGATTTCAGTAATATAAAGAAGCCAAAAGATACCACAATCAAACAAGGCTAACAAGACTTACCTGAGTATGCAATGCGAATTTAAAAATTAGAAACTCAACTAAGGTCACCCACCCTGAACTAAAGAAAAACCACAGAACAGTATCTATTAAAGCAGAAACGGCAGACCCAATATCATGGGTTGGAGCACTGTACTTCTGCCTTGCAATGAGGTCAATCTTGTTTCGATTCCTGGAACTGTCTATGGTCCCCTGACCACAGAACAAGGAATAGTTCCTGAGCCTCTCTGGGTGTGGTAATCCTTCCCTCAAAACAAAACAAAAACAATATCCACTCATAAATACTCTGTCAAACTATAACAAGTTATGACAAACAACATCAACTCCCAGCTAGCACCACAATGTGACAAAAGTAGTGTAATTTTCTGTGTTCTAGAAGCCAAGACACCATTACCTTTTTCAACAAAATATTTAAACTTTTCTTTGAAGGTGCTACCTAAATAAATGGCATACAGATTAGAAAGGAAGAACCACAGCTATCTCTGGACACAGATGACATGATTGCTTGTATGAAAAAAAAATACTAAGGTACTCTACCTCAAAATTCTCTACAATAACTTCATAAAATGGAACCTGGGCTGGCTATGTCCAAAGCAAACACCTTACCTCTGTACTAACTCTCCTGTCCAGGACAGGATTGATTCCGAGAGCTGGATCCTCCTGGCTCTTAAGCTTCATTAGAATCACTTAAGGGACCAAACAAAGATGCTGACAGCCCAAGCACCAACCCTGACCAATAGAATCAAAATCCCTGGGTTGAAGCAGGCAGGAAGAGTGTAGAAGCTTATCAGGGAGCTTGAAGTGGCACAGCCAAGCCTGTCCCCAGACTGGCCAGCTCCACTCTGCTCAGCCCAGCTTGATCCCACCCATCCCACAGAGAGGGAAACAATCAACCCCAAATCTGCCCAGCTAAATCATTATAGACGTACTCAGTGTAAGGCCAGACCCATCTGGAGGGCCAAGTGGGAAACAAAAGTAAAAGAGAGTGGATGTTTTAGCCAGCTGGGAAAAGCATGCCTCTGAGCTGAGACTGGTCATGAGACAAAGCCTTGGAACAAGAGTTCCACAGGCACCAACTCCTGGAGGTGCTGATCTTTTCTAGGGTCCATCCCTCAGGCTTCCCAGAGTGGGGCTGAGTGGACAGGTCCCCAGCCACACTGGACTTTCACGGAGCTAGAACGTGTAAACCAGCTCCCAAGGACAATTCACGTGACTCCCTTTCTCTCTCACACATCCCAGTGAGGCAGATCACCCTTGCATGTGGCCATCCAGGGTTTCATTCCCAGCATCCCATATGGTCCCCCAAGCATTGCCAGGAGTAATTCCTGAGTGCATGAGCCAGGAGTAACCCCTGTGCATTGTGGAGTGTGACCCAAAAAAGAAAAAAAAAGATGGGGTCTGGGCAATGTCCCACCAATACCTGGGGCTGCCCAGGTCTTGAGTTGGCCCAGTAAAAATAGGTAAGGGCTCTCCAGCATGCCCCTGCATCCTGACCATCCTGCTCCAAACTGCTGTCATGGGCTGGATAACAGCCTGGACAGGTTCTGACACGTGGGCTTTGGGCCTGCAGTGGGCACCCTTGCTCTGTGGAGGGTCTTCGTTGTGGGTCCAAGTGAGGCCTGTCCTGACTTCTGGTGGCTTGGTTAAACACGCTGCAGTAACATTGCCATGTTTGGTTTGATGAAGTTTTTCCAGCCTGGAACCCACTCCCTACTCCCCAGGGGCCTCTAGCTGGCCATGGATGTAATCTGTGGGGTTCAGAAATGGAGAAAGGGAAAGTCTTGGCGTCCAAGAGAAACCTTAAGGAAGTCTCTGGCTGAGCAGCCTTAAGGAAGCTGCAATCTCCTGTGCCTGGGTTTCTTCATCAGCAAACAGGAACAAGAGTTCCCACATCCCAAGGCCAGTTGCAAGACAGGAGCCAAGAACCTGGTGCTCAGGAAGCACCTGCACTCCTTGCTCCTCCCACCTGCTACCAGCCTCCGTGTGTACTCCAGAATGTGGGGATAGCTGGCCCCCTGTCCACAGGGCCACAATCTGCCCGAGTGAGGAGTCTCAGCAGTCTAGCTAGCCTCGTGCTTCCCTCTTGGCTGGCAACCCTCTTTCTACCTGCGCAAGCCCAAGCCGTTCTTTTTATCTGGGTTCTTATCTCAATCTCAGTTAACAGTCAAGAAACCCTTCAGGTTTCCAACAAAGAGCCAGGGCAGAGAAGTGCAGAAAATTGTCACAGACCTGTAAGCTCAGCCAAAGAAGGGCAGCTTCTTGCACGCTGCCCAGGACACTACAAAGGACGTCCTGGCATGTTTGATTCCTTAGACAGGGAAATGCTGGAGGCTGGCGAGCAGGCGCGTTCTCATACACCCCAGTGCGTGCTGGGGGAAGGGGGTGCTCCAGAATCTTAATCTCAGGGACTCCTTTCCTCCAGCCTCTTCAGCGCAGCGTTCTCCCCCGACCGCCTAGGGGTCTCCACTCCCCCAAAAAGAGCAGCCCGGGCCCAACCAGATGCCAGGTTCCAGGTGCGTGGCGAGATGAAAGCTGGAGGCTGACACCTCACTTTTAGCTCTGAAAAGGGAATGTCCCCATCCAGAATGGCGCCGTGCCCCCACCCCCAAAACTGGAGCGAAGCTTCTCCTGCAGACGGGAGGGAGAGAGGTAGGGGATATGGGGACCACTGACCTGGGAAGCCCGCGATCTGGAGCTGGAGAGCACGAGCAGCAGAAGCAGGAGCGCACGGGGACCGTTTGGCCCCATTGTGCCCCCCCAGACCCTCTGTGCGCGCAGAGGCGCGGCCGCTTTACTTTCCCGGACGGCGCGTCCCGGACGGTGCGGGGCGCGCGCGTCCCGTAGAGCGAAGCGGGAGCGTCCAGGTGCGCCGCACGCCCGCCCGCGACCACCCGCGGCCACAGCGTCGGCGCGGGAAGGCGCCAGCCGGGGGCCGCAGCCGAGGAGGAGGAGGAGGAGGAGGAGGAGGAGGAGGGGCTGCCGCTCCAGGAATGCGCCTGGGAGCTCGCCCAGCCCGCGCGGCGCCCCGAGGCGTCCGGGCGCGCAGCCGAGCCGAGCGCGGGCACCGGCCCGGGCCCCCGCGGGGTAGGGAGCCCGGGGCAGCGCGACCGGCGCCCCGGCACGCGGACGGGAACGTGGGAGCCCACCCTGGACTGTGCCTCCCCCACCCCTTCCCAGCAGGGGAGAGCCGAGGCTGCCAGCACCACCCAGCTCACAGGCAGAACGGGGGGCTGAGAAGGTTTCGCAGGGAGCCGCAGAGCTGCGGTTCACGGCCAGGTGTCGGGGTGCAGAGAGCGCACAGCAACGGAGAGGCGTTTGCCTCGACCAAGCCGACCCGTGTTCAATTCCTAACCGCTTATAGGACCCCCGGATCCTGCCAGGAGTGAGCCCTGATCCCTGAGCACAAAGCTAGGAGTCAGCCCTGAGCGCAGTCGATATGGCCCCAAACAAAAAGCAAATTCAAGTCGTGTCCTGCTTTGGAGCTAGCTGGACCACCCTGGGTAAAGCCAATTTACCCAGGATCTGGATTTCAATAGGGAGCACGGTAACACTGTAGTACTGTCCTTCGGTATTTCATCGATTTGCTCAAGCGGGACTTGTTGTTACTGTGTTTGGCATATTGAATAGGCCACGGGTAATAGGAAGACAGGCAGAAAATCTACCTGGTTGACAGCCCTCTTCCACCCAGCAAACAGAAGCCAAAATACTGTTTAGTTCAGAGGCTGGGGCTGGGCATGTGACTGCAGTAGAGCAAGTGCCTCGCAGGTTTCAGGCCTTAATGTTTGATTCCCAACCACCAATAAACAAACAAAAAAGCAAATGAGTAAAACCTCCACTAATTTAGGACTATTCACACGTTGGTTGGATACTTTGCTGAGCCCTAGGGACAGATAATTGAGAAAGGCAAAGGTCAGGGCTCTGAAGATCCTTGCCCCAGAGGCTGTGGGAGCAACAAGTGAGTCTCACAACTAGGATCCTGGAACACAGTATTGACAGTCTCCCTGAAAGAAAGACTGCAGAAGGTCACACTGCTATGTCCTGGTGAGCAACATGCTTAGTCCAGTGCTGGCTACAGGCTCACAGGCTTCCCTGACATGTAGTCCTGGGTTCCATCGCTTCTATCTGTACCTCCTCTCCCCGCAAGACCTACTGGTTCTTTTCCAAATTTCAAGTAACAGATCCTACTCAGGAGCTCAGTGAACCTTAGTCTTCAAGCAGACAAGAGGGACTAGAGCGGTAGCACAGCTGGTAGGGCATTTGCCTTGCACACGGCCGACCGGGTTCGATTCCCAGCATCCCTTATGGTCCTCCGAACACTGCCAGGAGTAATTCCTGAGTGCACGAGCCAGGAATAACCCCTATGCATCGCCACGTATGACACAAAGAGCCTAAAAACAAAACAAAACAAAACACAAAACAAAAAAAACCCAAAAACAAACAAACAAAGCAGGCAGGAGCTTCTTTCCACTGGTAGGCAGAAAGGGAATGAGGCAGACCCAGAATGCATGGGGCATGATGCTGGCTGGCCACAGGCATTCATCACCCAAGAAATTCTGTTGTGTTGCTCCATCCATCCTCTTGTCAGAAGAGGCAGAATGCCAGGCCCCTGCCATCTTACCTGCATTCCTGGTTCTGCATATTTGAAGAGAAACCTAGGTGGAGCATTGCTTCTCCCTGTTCAGGTACATGTGTTCAGGTGGGGTGGGTGGTGGTTGTGATGGGGCTGGTGGTAGCCTGTAGACATTGTGGTTCTTCCTGGGTCTTTTATGTGCCTACTGCTCATGCCAAAGCCCAATGACCTCCCCTTGCTCTACAACACCTCACCTCAGGAATGAAAGGCTTCATTCTGGCCAGTCTGTTTATTTTGTACTCGAGCCCACCTAGCGTTTGCAGAGGTGAGCGCTCCCAGAAGGCCTCTTGCTGAGCGTGCTCCTTTAGTCTTTATGGGGCCCTCTCTCTGCTTGCTTTAAGCTGGAAAAGACTCTGGCATTACAAAACTAAAGTGAGGCTGAGTTGAACATCTTGGCCAAGGTGTGCAAACTCAGATCTTATAGCCCCTCTAAGCACTTTCCCGGCTATCAGTAAAATCATAGTCACACAGGGGCTGGAGCAATAGCACAGCGGGTAGGGCATTTGCCTTGCACGTGGACGACCCAGGTTCGATTCCCAGCATTCCATATGGTCCCCTGAGCATTGCCAGGAGTGATTCCTGAGTGCATGAACCAGGAGTAACTCCTGTGCATTGCCGGGTGTGACCCAAAAAAAGCAAAAAAAGCAAAAAAAAAAAAAAAAAGAAATCATAGTCACAGAATTTCACAGTCTATTTACAGCAACAGTGTGTTTTTTCTTTTCCATCAATCTTGGAAGTATGCCCTATTTCAATGGGGCTGTTTCTCCCTACTTACTCATTTCCCCCATCTGGCTGCTGTGCTGGTGCTCTAGCACCTACCCTGAATGAACCTTCTCAGGGCCCCATCCCAGCAGTACACCCCACTTCCCTCTGCATCCTCACCAAGCCTGCCATGCAGTTCTCAAGGTCAAGCCTCCCTGGCCCACACCTGTCCAAACTGTCTAAGGCAGATGCCCCTGACAATCAGCCACCAGTGTTCCAGTTGGGACTTCAAAGACTAACCTTTGCTTAATAAAATAGAACTAGAACATTTCTTTCTTTTTTAAAATTTTTATTAGTGAAACAGTTGTAGACTTACAAATTTTTGTGCTTGGGTTTCAATTATACAATGATCAAATACCCATCCCTCCACCAGTGCCCATTTTCCCACCACCACAGATCCCAGTATCCCTCCCACCTCCCATCGCCCCCATCCCACCCTGCCTCTGTGGCAGGGCACTCCCTTTTGTTCTCTCTCTCCTTTTGGGTGCTGTGGTTTGCAAGAGGCATTGGGTGGCAATCATGTTCGGTCTATAGTCTACTTTCAGCATGCATCTCCCATCCTGGGCGGACCTTCCCAGCACCCTTTATTTGGTGCTCCCTTCTCAATCTGATCTGCCTTTACCCCTAGAGTGTGCGACTGTCCTCCAAGCCATGGAGTAAATCTCCTGGTACTTATCAGAGCTATTCTTGGGTGTTAGTCTTCTATTTTGTTATTTTATGTTCCCCAGATGAATGCAATCTTTCTATGTCTGTCCCTCTCTGTCTGGTTCATTTCACTTATCATGATACTTTCCATGTAGTACCACTTGTATGTGAATTTCATGGCTTCATTTTTACTAGAACATTTCTTGAGCTTCCACTCTATTTTGTCTTCAGAAGAATATTCTGCAGTTTTAAGGGATGGAGGCATGCTTATCTAAATAACACTTCTATATTTATGTGTATATATATTTAGGATATATATATATATTTTTTTTATTTAACTCGATACACCATGATTTACAATACTGTTTACCATCGGGTTCCCAAACCACTCTCTGCCAGTGCTTCCCTACCTTACTGTCAACTCTACATTTTTTTCTTTTTTGATTTGATAGAACCAATCGCCATTTCTTGGGATCTGAGTTCTGATACAGTCTTGTGCCCTGTATAAACAGGGTGTTAATGGGGTAGGGAGAGGAACTGTGGAAGCCTGTTTCAAACCTATTGGAGGCAGCGCTCAGCATGCAACATGCAACTGTCCCTCCAGATCTGATCTGCAGGACCTCTGTCCTTCATAGTACCCTTATCATGTTGCTTACCAGTTTGGGGGGAGTGCAGGGCCTACCTGGTGCTTGAGAGGACCAACTGCAGTGTTGGAATATAAATAGGGATGGCGGCTGCAGGTAAGCTAGGTAAGCTTGCTAGGTAAGCTCCTTCACCTTCGTGCTATCTCTCTGTTCCTGTTGCTTACCCTTTAAATTTCATATTTCATTCTTGCTGAATCTTGTCAGTTGATTCATGCAAGGCCATTTCTCTCTCTTGCCCTTCTTCACCCTAACTGGAATCTAATGTCTTCAGACTCTGAGCACCTAAACAGGCCTCAGAAACAAAGTGCCACCTCTTCACCTGACTGAGCTAGTCAGAGTTCAGAGAGTGGGATGGTCTCTCATCACTCGTGATTGAAGACCACTCTAGGCGGGGTCCACCCAAAGCTTTCACTCCACACAGAGTCCCAGTCAACAAAACCACACAGGCCACGAACTGTGCAAAGCCTGTCTGTTCAGGTATGCTGTTGTGAGAGCTGGGAGAGATTCCAGCCCACAACAACCCCTCCCCCCCCCACTGCCCCTGAAAATTATTTCCAACTTTGTGAAGCTAATACCTGTAAGAAATAGAAGATCCAGTTGCATCATGATTAAAGACCACCAAGGTCATTTCTTAAAACACTGGGAATTGAGCTTCCATGTGACCTGGCAATTCCACTTCCGAGTATATACCCAAGGCCCAGAAACTCAGTTTAGAAAGGACTTATACCCTGTATGTTCTTTGCAGTGCTATTTATAGCCAAAATCTGGAAACAACCCAAGTGTCCAAGAACAAATACCTGGAGAAAGAACTATGGTACATACACTTACACAGTGGGATGCTACTCTGAGTCTACAGCTGCTGAGGTCTCCTAAGTTTTGGGAGTAGGGGGCACCCAGTAATCCTTGGTGGATCATGTGGTATTGGGAATTTTTTTTTCCTGCTTTTTGGGTCACAGCCAGTGGTGCTCAGAGTTTATTTCTGGCTCTGTACTCAGGAATTACTCCTGGCAGTGCTGATGGGACCATATGGGATGCCAGGAATCAAACTTGGGTTGTCTGCATGTAAGACAGATGACCTCCTCGTTGTACTATCACTCTGGCCCCTG